CTGATATATCGTTAATGTGCATTAGTAAATTTTTGTAATGGGCATTGCATTAAATTATATAATTGTATCAGAAATTTATTGCGTTTAACGTCCCAATTAGGATATTCGACGATGTATGTTATTTGGATGAGCTGATGTGTGGAGGACTCTGACGCATGGAGAAGCTTATGTGCGGAGGATTCAGACGTGCGGAGAAGCTGATGTGCGGAGGTCTCTGATGCACGGAGAAGCTTATATGCGGAGGACTCTGACGCACGAAGAAGCTTATATACGGAAAAGCCGACGTGCGGAGTTCTTTGACGCACGGAGAAGCTTATGTGCGGACGACTTTGACGTGCGGAGGAGCTGACGTGCGGAGCACTCTGACGCACGGAGAAGCTGACTCTGATTTCTTAAATTGTCGATATGTTTACATCCTCGGTCTCCTTCCAATTTATTCCTTTTAGCATCAAGATCAGCTGGTGCGCAGTCGTTCGTTTTTTCCGTTGTTTTTAACGGGGCGGCATCAGCCAGGTCGATGCCTACGGCTTCAGGGCTCGCGCCGCGCCGCTGTTTTTTCTGCGTATGCGCGGTCGCCGCAGAACTGACCCGTCGTTATCCTCCTGGATTGATCCCATAACTACCTCTTGGAACGACCCGAAATCAACTGGTGCGAAGTCGTTCGTTTTTTCCATTGTTTTTAACGGGGCGGCGTCAGCCAGGTCGATGCCTACGGCTTCAGGGCTCGCTTCGAGAAGCCGTTTTTTCTGCATTATCTCGTCGTCCTGCAATACCTCGATGGCCGGCCAATATTGAAGTTCTTGCGCATATCACAGATAAGCGTTAGTTTTCATTGAGGTGGACAATCCTTTGTCCAATCGTTCCAGACGCTTCCTGAGTTCTTTTAATATGCTTTTTACTTTTTTCGCGGACACTTGCTCTTGCATCTCCTGGCTTACTTTTTCGGATAGAATCGACCTTAGACAACAATACCGTAAGTTACCTAATCCAGAACTCGAAGTATGTCGTCGTTATTTACATTAATTCGCTTATGTTGCATTTTTGTGACACACTTCAAGCTGTTCATATTTCTGGACTAAACAAATGCAAAAATGCAAGTGCATCGATTTATATATTCGTTCATTGTAAAATAATTCTAAGTTAGTTTATAAAAAATATTATTTATATATGATGAAACATTTGGTCGACTTATACCAATTAGGTTCACAACTTTTGGTCAACATTTCCAACTCGCCATTGACCATTTAAATATAGATGAAACAACGATCATTTTTTAAAATTTTAATTCATTTATTTAATAATTTTACATTTCTGACATTATTTAATTTAAATTTCAAAATATTAATAATTAAAACTACATGCTAAATCTTATAGACTAACTATTTTCGGCTCCGCAAATACCAATAAGATTGCAAAGCGTTCGCCATGAAAGTTGTGTAGTGATGACAAACTTGACATTGTCCTCCTAAGTTGTCTGTTTACCATTGAAAGATATTGTTATTACTTGACGTAACGCCTGCGTCCGATACATAGTGACAATCCCTTTTCTCCACCACAGCTTAATCCTTGCCTAAGATGGCTGTTACTGTTACTTTTTCCATTTTATACTTATCTAGTATATACAAGACACTTCCTCGATTGTGTTTTGTCCATTTTAAGCCAAAGGTCGTTTATCAAATCACAGCAAATCCTTAATCAGTTTTCATTCTTCCGAGCTTGCCGGTTTGGTTGTAGCCAAGAATCACATACTCTGTTTTACTAAATTGAAGATAAAACCGTCGGGAGTTGTGGGCAAAACGTTAAAGCTCCCTGAATAGAATCCCCGAGCAATTAAGCCAAGATTTTACAAATTTTTCTTTTTGTTGAAAAATCTACAAACGCCGTTTTCAATATAAAAAAGTTAATTTGTTCTATTGCAAATGCGTTGTCACTTCTAAGATCGTAAAAATTTAATACAAAAAACGCTATAACGTATTTGTAGTTTAACAACACTAATGAAAAGAAACAAAAACAAAAAGCGTTATTTAACGGCAATATATATTGCTATTGTTCATTTTCGCGATCTCCATTTGTAAGTTTTGATCTGCTCGAAAAGTCTGCACAAAAAAAATATTATTTTCTAAGAAACAAGAGGAAAAAATCCTTTTGATGAAAAAAGTCATATCCATGTGAAGTTATTCTTAAGTTATTGTGCTACAGTGTTTTTAAAAATTTGCTGTGTTAAATATGAGAATTGTAAGACACGTTCGAAGATAGTTTTAGATTGCCTCTCGGCATGAACTTAGCTAAAGATAAAGATGTGAGAAAAAGCCTCAGTCATCTGTAGCGACAAATGATATCACACAAAAGGAGGCCAGGAGTGGATTTCGAGGAATCAACAGACCTGCATCAAACGACTGTGCAGTTGGAAATAAAATTAGAAACCGTTGTTTTCTGGAAGCCCTCTTAACAGCTTACAACACGATTTGAAAGCAACCAAGAAAGGGGGACAACGTATCGAACATTCAGGTTAGTATTAACTTCTTTGATCATAAGTATATCTCGTCGTACCTATCGTTGATTTGTCTACAAAGTTTCTCTTGCAATTCCTATCTTTACCTGCACCTTTTCCTTGTTATACCAATTATATATTTGGTTTTATTTTTTTGCTGCCTGTCAAATGTTTTTGGGAAAAACGTTGAAAAAGTAGTGAAAATTAACTATTTTTCCAATATAATCTTTGAAGTCCCAAATTGGAATTGACAATATTTAAATATATAGTGAAATCAATTGATGTTTTAGCGGTTTGGCTGCATTGTTTATTAATCTATCTTTAAAATCAGTTGTATATTTAAAGCCTGTAATATTTTTTTCGATATTTTTCAGTATCAACGGATGGAACTAAGAGCGAATGCGATAAGACTTAACCACACATCCCAAAAGCGTTAAAAACACTGAATTGAATTGAACTGAACTGTGTGCTGCTTTGCTCCTTACATCTTTCTATATATGGACATATGAACTGGACGAAAAAAAGAAATTCTCTCATGCATACATAGTCTCAAAAGATGATTTGCTCGTTTGACACGGAATTCATAGGCTATCAGAAAAATAGTCTATGGAAAAATGCAATTGCAATGGGAACATGTCATATGCATACGCCATTAGGATTGTCGTTTTACCTTATGATGTTCTAAAACCGTAAACTTTTATCATAGACTATTTGAATTGTTAATTGTTAAAATTCATCCGGGCGTTGAAGAGGATATGCTTCGTATTATTAATCACATTTTGGAAAATGATTGCAGTATTACGGTTACGGATGATCAAAATGCGATAAGAGCCGTCGCTTTAGTCAAACGTATGAGGACGGATGCTCGTTCATAGACCGCGCTTCGTTTGATTGTGAGAAGCATATTTGTGAGTGATTTCTTAGAATTGCTTAACACTACGCTACAAAGTGGAATTAATCTCCATCCAGATGATAGCCGACCTTTAAATATCCGACACCACATTATTTAACACAATTTTTATTTTTTTATAGAACACAAAAATTATATGTTGCTTCTATACAAAGACATATTCTTCATCTGCATATTTATGGGGAAACGGGCCCAAATCGTAATATTATTCAAAGTTCGTTTTTATATGAAATTACGGTAACATTATGGGTCCATTCTTATCACAACGTGGTAAATCTTAGAGTTTACTCTACAAAGACTCAACTCTACAAAGGATCGATTTTCGTGAAAGTAGTTGAGGATAGGATCCTAGAAATAAGCCGAGAAGGTCCAAATTTACTGCAGTTAATTTTTTTATGTTAAATTACTGGTATGATATAATTGAAGCATTGAAAATTATCATATGAACTTTTATCATATGAACTTCAGTTTTCGTTATAAGTGACCAATTGCATTTACCAGTAAATATCAGCATACAAATTTCCTCAAAATGTTTAACAATTTGAAGCTTGCAGATTAAATACAAGTAAAAATATGAATAGACGAAAAGCCACGTTTAAATCAAACCAAAAAGTGATTCCAAATCGATCGGTATAATAAGAAGTAGGTCTATCTCAAGCACTTCTAGGTGCTGCACAATTAGTGTAATGTAGAACAAAGTATTAGTTTCATTAATGACATACTTTGTTACACTCATCATTAATTAAAATTTTAATTTTTATATAATTTAAAATAATAATAATGTCCACTTAATGAAATGTTTGTAACGACTTTAAGGCAAAGAAATGTGAACTGTGGCAGGCAACTATTTCGGATGAGGCACTTTTGAAAGTAAATCGGGTGATTGTAAAAATCGTAATTATCTTCTCACTTTCTCGAATCTATTGACGAAAGACTTATCAATGTATTTCTTTATTATCACCCTATGTGGGGTCTTTCGATGCCGGATTTAAGACTATAAAACGAGTAACCAGAAAGAAGCATTACCTCCTAATGTGTTAGGTATTGAAAGTTCGTGTTAAAACGATTACAGGTTTCTTTTACGTATATCTTTACTTATATGTGTGAGGGCTTTATCTTCATTTGTTGTAAAAAATTACATTTAGTGATTGCTTCCATTGTTTTCGCAATAACTGTACAAAAACAACTACGGAAATTATAGTTCGGCGGTGCCAATAATAAGATACCCTACACAGCTTTCTCTAAAACACTTACACACTCGTTGTAGTATACAGCAAAATTATACACAACTTTCAGGGAAAGCCATGCTTTCATGAAAGTCCACATTAGCAAGTTTTCAGTTTACATCATAAAATCTAGCGATTAAGCTTTCTCTCCATATAAGGGCTTACTTTTCATGATAATCTCTATATATATTGTACGGTTTACAAAATAGATCTATACGATCCGAATTCAGCACCGTTTTCACTAAAATGTTGCTATGCAATAATTTCATCATAATGTATTAAAAGTTAAACATATTGATAGTTTAAAATATAGTTTAATTTTTTCGTAAGGGGGTACTCTTCATGAGATATCTTATATGGAATTTGATGCAAGGCCTCTTTGACATATAAGAATTTAGATTTCTTGAGAATCTTTATATGCGGTGATATGCGAACAGTGGACCTACATGGTTAGAATTTGGCAAAGTTGATTTCTATGTCAATCGACTTTTATAAACCATTTTTCACCACGAAATATTGAAAATTATATCTTTTCATTACATAATGATCCAGTTTTCGTACGAACAGTTACATTGGAGCGGGTTGAAAAAAATGCCATAGCTGAATGAAATTTTTCATACCAATTTAGAATGTCCAAATACTATTGGAGAGCGAGTTTTGTCGATAAATTTTGATATTGATAAAATAATAATGATTATTGACATATATATAATAAATTATTTCTGCTATAACCACTGGGGAGTGATCGGAAAAGTGGACCGATCCAAGCCATTTTCAACAGCGTTCTTCCTGTGGCAAAGCATGTTAGTGTATCAAACTTCATCAAAATATCTCAAAAATTGCAATCTATACCGACAGGCGGAGAAATGGGCAGAGAAGCTTAGATCGATTGAAAAAACGATTCTGGATTGTTCGGTATAATAAAAGGTGGGACAATTTTAAGCCCTACTGGATGTTAAATACGTCCACACCGCAAGTGGTGCAATAAAGACAGTTTACGTTTTTTCTTCTATCGTGCCGATGAAAATTTATTGCCGATAAATGCTTTATGAGACGCTTTTACAATGCCATTTGCGAGGTGGCAGGACATATGAAAACGCCGCGGATAACTTATTTGGATCAGGTTGAACCCGAAGGTTCAGTTGTGTCCCAACTGTGGTTTGGATACAATTGAACTGTGCGTTTTCGGACGATGGCCACGGTCGAGAAACTTTATTGTCGGAAAAGAATAACGATAAACAAGAAAATTCTGGTGAAGGTGGTGATATCAATAACGACGAGTTTAAAGAAAATCGCATTCAAAAAGCTAATTCAGTAAACGATTTCTTATATTTTCCCAAATTGTAAAATTACATCCGTACATTCAAACTGGAATAAACAAATAAATGTTTTTAATTTAGGTGAAAGTTCTAAACATGGCTTATTAGTACATCTAACCAATCCTCGTCTGAGCCAATGCGATCGTGAAGCCATTAATGCGGTACTTACATATACATTTGGTCAACAACAACAGCAACGAATTCAGCAGACTTCCCAAACGCAAAACGATATGATTTCCAACAATATATGAATAAAACAATTACAAAATCTTCAAGATTTGGCTGTCGTGCAGCAAACAGCAACAGCACACGAACAGTCCCACTACCGAGCGAGAGTTACATCAAATAATCATAATAAAAGCAATAAAATGCATGTACCATCCTCGCAACCAACTGAAATTTTATCCGCTGGCGGAAGCAATTGTGAACATTCTTTCATCACATGTAATCAATTGCTACACAAATAATACGTTATTCAAAATTTATTTCAATTTGCTTTACGGTCTTTTGATAAATAGCGCAGTAAAAATTCAAATGTATTTTTACACTTATTACAAGAATATAAGGATCAGCGCACCAAATCACCATTGTGCTTGAAATAACATAATGTTCAGAAAAAGCTCGAAAGCTACTTCTAAGTATATATATTCTCGATCAGCATCAAATACTGAATCGATTTACACTTGTCCGTTAATAAAATTTTGATATCTTTCAAATTTTTCCGACTTTATTCGGGATTTAGGCGGAAAATACGATCAAAAATTTCTTGTTGTTTTCGTTATTTTTTTTTTTTGAGTAGATAAGATATTTTAGCAATTTTCAATTTAATATGAATTTAAATATATTTACTCTTCTTAAAAAGAGGATCAGCTCCATTTAGTTAAATAAATCTTACCGTAATGGAAGGTTTATCCTGAGCTAATTCTTTATTATTATTAACATAACAAAAATTAGCTCCTTTTATACTCTTTATCTAACTTATTAATTATTAGAGTAATAATTTCAGCTTTAGTTGGAGCTATTGGAGTGTTAAACCAAACATTAATTATAGTAAATGGACTTGCCGCAGTGAGTTCTGTTGAGTGGTTTGTTTTGACTAGTTTTATTTCGATTAATGGACTTTATGCCTGTAAATATTTTATTGATAATTTTATTATTTTATTATCATAAAAAAATGGACTTACCGCAGTAAAACTTTAAAGCTTTTTTTATTTAAAGATTACTAGATTTTTTTCCAATGGTTGGTTTTTTTTTCAGTCTATTCTTTCCAATTCGCGCACACAGAAAATGTACATTTAAAGATTACTAGATTTTTTCCAATTGTTTGTTTTTTTTATAACAAAGAAAATGGACAATTAAAGCAAGCTTTACAAAAATCTCTTTATAACGTCAAAAAATGATTTGAATTATCTAATTTTTCGCACGCATACGTTCAGCACAGAGTTATGTTTAAGGTGTTTAAATTATATAATTTTTATAAGGGATAATTTTTCGCATGCATATGGTCATTTTTTTATAAACGAATAATAAAATTTGAAATATAACCGAAATGCATGCAAAAAATGGAATAAATTAATTCATACAATATATTTGTTTAGGTTATATATCCATATTTTATTTTGCTCATATTTTGTTTAGTTTATATCTGCTTAACTTGAATATATACTTTCACTTGATATTTTACTTTTGCCTTGCACATTCAAGTTTGGTTGAATGTGCATTCATTGACTTGTTCACGCACTTGCATTTGCATGGTTCTGTGTTGGTCTGCTTTATAATAACTGACCATAGACGATAATATCAAAAATTATGCAATCCAGATCTTGAAGTGTGTCGTCGTTGTTTGCATTAATTTGCTTATGTTGCTCTTTTTATGGCACCCTTCAAGTCGTTCATATTTCTGGAATAAACACATGCAAAAATGCAAGTGCACCAATTCATACATTTATTTATTGCAAATAAGTCTGAATTAGTTTATAAGAATTGTAAGTTATAAGTCACATTTTCTATCAATAAAATTGTCTTTGTACTATTTTGATATTGCATTGATCTGTTTTTAGTGGTTTCTTCCAGTGCTGGAAGAACCAAATCTATGTAAATTAGTACGACTTGCTGCAACGTCTTGTCAAATTCTGCCAATTAAGAAGGTATTGACCATTCCAGTTTAAATAGACCGTATAAGACGGTCTACTAGCCTTCTTTGTTTAGTGTCCAAGTCGGACTCGCTAATAAATACATTCGGAAGAAAACATTCTAACTTAACATTTGGTGACCGACGTGGTTGGGACGTCTAATCATTTGTTGGTTGGTGTCAGACGCGCTAACAAACACATTCAAGGAAATCGTAATCTCAACATTCTGGTGACCCCGACGTGATACTCACGTATTGCGTTTGCGTCTCACCACATTAACAAAACATTTTGCACGCATTCGATCTTAACAATATTGATAACTTACATTGTTAAAAATTGCTTTTTTAGTACAAAAGAGTAAAACTGTTTTCTTTTTACAGTGCTCGAAATAGCGCTAAAATATTGCAAGAATCCATTTTGAACGAGACAATAAGAGAAGAAGTGTTAAAATAACAGGTAAGATTTCATTTTTTTTCTAATATAGTGTCAATATAAGTTTATCAATTTTGTTTTATATATATTTTTAGAAGACGACAAAAGAGAAAAGAAGAAAGTAATTCCCTGGACAGGTAAAATTTTTTAATTTTTTCATTTTATGGGATAATTAACTTTTATATATTTTCAGAAAAATAAAGAGAAAGAAGAAATAATGAAAGATATATATCAAGATGTGTTGAAGGAGATCGACGGCGTGAACAGGCCTCTGGTAGCAATAACTCTGCTAGGCGCGGCCCCTATCGACGCCATGGGCCACGCGGAGGGCGTGGGGGAAGATGTAGACGGGCCCCAAGCCCTCCTCATGAAAGAGGAGGTAGGTGGAAGCCCCCCTCAGCAAAGAGATTTGTTTTCTTTAGTTTAAATCCTGGCACCTAGTTTCCTCCTACTTTCAATTTGTCTATTTGTCAGAATCAATTGCTCAACTGTCAAGTAAGAAAATAATATTTTTTTTCTATAATTTTAAATCTTTTATTTACTTATTGATAAGTTTCCTTTTCTTTTAGAATTACAAATCAATTCATTAAATTTTGAAAATGAATGAAAACATCGTATCAAAGTTCCCAAAGTTCCTACAAATCTGTCGATCAGAAGCGAATGCAAAGTAAACACAAATGAGTCGGTACGAAGATGAAATAATGTCCTTAGCGGATTCCCGGTCTTATGCACAAACGTCAATAGCCAATTTTGACAATTTGGCAGCCTCGCAAAAACTTACGTCTTGCCATGAACTATTATCACAGTCTGCTGAGTTATCCACAAATGAAAGTGAATTTCGTATCACTGATACACAGTTAATTAAATGTTGCAATAAAGCGGAAGTTATGATGAAAGAAGTAAAAGACGCACCAGAAAGAGCTCGTGATGACAAGAACAATGAAACAACAGTAGACATAATATTTGAGGACTTTTCTACAACGCCTTTTAACAGTCCTATAGTATAGCCTGAGAGTAAATTAAGAAATTTGGAACGGAGCCCTTTATTTATATTACTGCAGAAACCGAAACGTTGCTATAGCCGTAAATTTAAAGAAAAGGCGAAATCAAATTTGGAGGAAAAATTCAAAGCCGCTATTGAGAACTATATGAGTACATGTTCATCTTTCTTGTTGCAATGCAGAAAGTATAAGTATCTTCTCAATGTTTGTAATGAATTCGATGGCACTTTAATTGACGAACACATCGTAAATTTGAAATTCAAAAAGTCATATGATTCCAGCTCAGAAACTAAGTTGCTCTTTATCGTTTTTTTAACAACTCTAACTTCGTACATTCTACTTTAGAAAAGCTTCAGATCCTAATTACGACGATATCGAGAAAGAGGACGTGTACAATGTAAATGAAAGTAAGTTGTTTTTAAAATCTGCGATGAGACAATATTTAAATTAATCCAAAATTTTTTAGCTTTATTGTCACCTAATCAGTGTAAAACTGGGATAAGTAAAAATTATCATTGGGATGAAAATGACAATGACATGTTTGCTTCCATAAGCACTCAAGAAATCCGCATTATGCTTCTATGATACCGCCGATGTCACAGTAAAAAAGTGTTGTAGATGAAGGATTTGTATTTGAAGCATTTGAACGCTTTAAAGGTAATTAAACTGCGTTATCACAATTTATGCGTGATCATCCAACGCTTGGTTGGATACAATTAGTTTTCAATGGTGATTTTGAAAGGGCCTCAAAAATACTATTTCAACTTGCACAAAGTGAGGCAGAGTTTTTGAAAAGGAAGAAAATGAGCAAAAAATTAACTTATGTGGAGAGGAAATAGTTTTGTTCAACTTTCTTTGGTAGTTCGTATTCAGTCGATGCTATCTTTGGATAAATTAGCAGCTTTTGCAGCTGCTAAATCGAACTTGCATTAAAACTGGAGACGATTAATGCCGAGCTGAATATTGTTGAATATCAAGATCAATTAAACGCGGACGTATTGGAAACTTTCGGTTATGATATAGAGCAGCAGAAAGTTTTAGCAATCGAAGAAATTATTAATGTAAGTTAAACTGTAAGTTTATATTTTAAAACTGAAGAGTTTTTACGAGTTTTCGCAACTTTTAGTAGTCGAAGAACACAAAAACGCTAATGAGCTTGACTTTCGCAAAGCCTATTTCGATGACCCATTCGAGCTCGTCATAAAGTATGGTGCCCTGCTATACTACGCAATAACTGGACTGAATATGATGTCGACAATGCCCTCGATTATATACAAACTCTTTTATTTTTCAAGTTAATTGAATTGTGCCATCTGATCGGTAAATGCTTTAGTTTTCTTCGTCTCCTATTAGCTATTATTTATGAGTTTTGCTTGTTAATTTGATACGGTGATGGCGAAAGTTTTCTACCTTTAATGGATGACTTTAACTGACTAATAAATCATTTCAGTATTTAATTAAATTAATTTATGAATACATACACGACACTTATAAAAATTCAGAACCATATTTACAGCAAAATGAAAATTCCTAATTAATGAATTCATAGAAATAATAGAAATTTTTGTACAAATAAAAACGAAAGAAGAATCATCAAACTTAATCTCTATTGGGTCAAATCTTTTTTCTCGTTAATCGAAAAAATTTTGCATAGTTTTCAAGTTATCAGATGTCATTATCAAAATTCGGCCTCTCTGTCCGTTTGCCTCTACGCACGGCGTAGGCACTTTTTTTGAAGCATATATAATTTGTCCGTTTTTATTTTTTGAATTTGTTTTTTTTTTTTCTGATCTGGCACCAAATTCGGAGTCGCTTTTTCAATTTAACAAGTTAGAGACAAAGGCAGACTCGCTGTTTCAATTCTTTCTCATCTAGCACCAAATTCGGATTTTCATCTGGCACCAAATCCAGACTCTTTGCGTACAATTAGACAATTTCAACCACTTAATTAATACAGCATTATGAATCGGAATCTTATCGGGCTCTAAGGATTTGTTATCGCCGTTATTTTCGTTATTTGGGGATTCTATAGCCTTTTGCGCGTACCGACATGCGCGTCCATCCACGCAATTGCAGCGTTTTTACTTTTTTCGAACTTCAATTGGGTCACTAAGCCCTTTCGACCTCGACCCACAAACAGTCGCACCCAATTGGATCACCGGTCAACGCCAACGGGCATCCCGAAGAAAATTCTAGATCTCGATCTCTTAACTCGTAAACAGACGAGCGGAATGACTCAGCGCAAAACTATTCTTAGTGGGTCTGAAGATAGCCAAGAAGAAGAAAAAAAAAAAAGCACGCATATTTGATTCTGAGAGTGAAAATGGCAGAGCCGACAATAGCTCTGTGAAGATAGATGCCCAAGACGTATTTGGAGATATTACTCTATCTAAGGATAAGAGAGAGGAAATTAAAAAAAAAGTCTGTCAGCGGTTCCGGGCAAGGTTCACCAAAATCTTTACTTTCCGAGCGCAACTTATTAACCCTGTTCTTTTTTTTAATTTTTAAATTAAACTCTTCATTACGCTTTTCGAACTTTTCATGGTGGACGCTTAAAGCTTGAGTTAATTATTTTGCGAATTAATTTTATCCTTTTGTTCGATTTTCTGAGGGACCTCCTTTTCTCAAACATTGCGCCTTTCTAGTTCTGTTTTAAGTTTTGCGATTGTATCGCTAAGCTTTTCCTGTTTAACAGAAATCTTAATTTTCAATGTTCAACAGTAAACTATACGAAACTATTCAGTCTAAGCACATGTGATTAATTTTGTATTCTCTTTGCTTATGTCTATTCGAAACGTTGCCATTTATTGAAAGCAACTCTGTTTTCTCTCTATTCTCAACACATGGTACGTTTTTTTATAAACCTTGTAAAGGAAAAAACCAGCTAACGGTTTTTAGCGAGAAATCAAAGCCACCAAGTGCACAAAGAAGTTAGACAAAGTGAAAAGTTCTTAAATAAATCGAAAAATATTATAAAAAAAATTGGAAGAAAAGGAAAAAGGAACATGCCAAAAAATACTTTATATTGCACTTAAAATTACTATCGTGTTAAATAAATTAAAGATATATAAATTAATTGTATGAGAGTGGTAAAAGAAAAAAGGCCAAAAATGATCCAAAAATTAAAATTTTATGTGTTTAAAATTACTAGTGCGTTAAATGAATTAAAGATGTCAAAAAAGATTATAAGAAAGTGTATAAAAGAGGAGCAGAGAAAAATATTGTAACGTCCGCGAACAAACTTAGGGTAGGGTGTCAGTCGGTCTGTTTTTGTCGAAAATGTGGTAATAACGGGATCCCGTTATGCAAGATCGCGTGATCGCTCGAATAGCGGTTTGCCGCTATGCAAAAAGAAGAAAAAAAGGAGAAAGGTGTGAAAGGAGAGTTTTGGATTATCAGTTAACGTTTGGTCTTGTCAGGTGAAAGTCAATAAAAATGTGCTGTGCATTCTACATAATTAACTCTCTAACTTGTAAAATCGGTTGTTCTACCTAATTGTTTTTGTTAATTATGTTTTACTTAAAAAGAAAGAAAAAATGTTTACTGTCGCGAAGTATTTTTGTAGTGCTTTTAAAATAAAATCTTTAGCTGAATGAATCACCTAACGATATGTTAGAACTGAAAAGAAAAAATTTATAATTTTAAATATTTAAAATAAGAAGCAATAAACCTGAAAAAGATGGCAAATGTTTTGTATGAAAGAAACTTGGAGTCGCTCCTTGGTTTTTGAATAGAAAATATTAATAAAAAAAAGGGATACGTAGTTTGTATTTTATTGAGAACTAAAACCGAGAAACAAATCTGTCCATCTATATAAATAAATAACGTCTGTGCTTGTGATGGAAGTAAATAAAAAAAAATAAAAATTATGATTGCAATTGTTATTATCAACAAGGACAATTTTGATTTGCGAATCCATAATAATTAGGCCTACAAAAATAGTTTGAGATGGTTATGTTTGCCGTACCATAAACAGTACATAAGATTTAAAAACAACGGGACAGAGATAATAATAAAAAAATGGAATAGTACAGAATAAACTGCAAAGCAGAGAGAATTTTTCTTTTTCTTCTCATGCATTAACGCGTACGCACATCATCTCCCATGATCAATTAAGTAAAAATCTATTTATGGTATAAAAAATGTGACAGAAAGAGGAAAAGTAAATTTCGTAACATTAGCTTAACTTGTAATTAATAACCGAATAGATGATTATGTGAATGTATTGTGAACGAAATGATATTGTGTGAATATCCTTCTTAAATTTTTAAATAAAAATACTTTCAAAAGAAAAAAAAAGTAAAAGAAAAATGTGTGAGTTAACTTCCGGTACCAGGCGTTTTTTTTTTGTAGTCTCCTACTACCGCCCTTGAAATCCACGCATAAGGAAGAAGCCTCATGAAGAGTAGTGCGCGAAAAGGTATTTCTACAGTAAAGCAGTGGCAAAGAAAAAGGAGGAAATAAAATCAAAGAGAGCTACCATTACATGAGCCTTAGAATTCACTTGGTTAGTTTGTGTATTACATAGAGAGAGATAAAAAGAAAATCAAAACTACGACATGTCACGGGTGCGAAGACCCCTTTTGCCAGAGTTGAGTGATCAGGTGAAAAGCCACTTACCCGTACAGACACAATAATAATTATTAATATTCTTATTGGACATTTTTGTTTTGTATTTTTCTCTTTTACCAAAATTTTCGTTTTTTTGCTTACGTTTAGTGTCTATGTAACTTATTCCCCAAAATTAAATATATTAAAATGTTAATTTATTAATTCATCCATTAATTATTTAAAAAAAAAATCTTAAAAATCTTAAATTCGTCGTACATTAGTGGTTATAAGAAAAAATTAGATATGCAGATTGATTTGAATAGTTAAAAGAAGAGTTCGGAAAAAATTAAGTAAGTTGTAAATTCATAATTACTTATTTTAGTTTTGTACAAATTTGAAAAATGGAAAACAAAAGAATTCGCAATGCATTATCCCATTTTTGTCAACACCCATTATTTTTGTTAAAGCTCCACGATCAAAGTTCTATCCAAACATTCTTGTACCTACCTTTTAGCGTCGCGGCCCAATCAAGAATCATCTCTAAATTATGTTATGTAGTGGAGTTTGACCGGAGTGCATTTGGCAAATTCGGCATCAAAACAAACGGCTTCGCACCGACGACCATCTTATCTAATATGAAAATATGGAGCCCTTGACTATCTTCTCAACACTCTACTTTACTAACCATTGAGAACATGAAGGTTCTTGACGTGGGCTTGCAAAGGC